TGAGGTCTCCAGCTGCACAAGATGAACTGGGAAACCAGGCTTAAGTGTGTTTCAAACTTCGAAGAGAAGGCTCGCGGCTGGCAAGGCTGAGTGCTGTCACTCGCTCCATCCTTCCGCGTGGAATAAGGGCCCTGGGCGCTCCGGCAGACAAAACACTGGCAGCTTTCTTTTTTTTTGAGACAGAGTCTCACTCTACTGCCCTGAGTAGAGTGCCGTGGCATCAGCCTAGCTCACAGCAACCTCCAACTCCTGGGCTCAAGCGATCCTCCTGCCTCAGCCTCCCGAGTAGCTGGGACTACAGGCATGCGCCACCATGCCCGGCTAATTTTTTCTATATATTTTTAGTTGTCCAGCTAATTTCTTTCTATTTTTAGTAGAGACGAGGTCTCGCTCTTGCTCAGGCTGGTCTTGAACTCTTGAGCTCAAACAATCCGCCCGCCTCGGCCTCCCAGAGTGCTAGGATCACAGGTGTGAGCCACCGCGCCAGGCTGACACTGGCAGCTTTTTAAGAGCAACCTGCAACCCTGTGACCCACCCAGCACCTGCTCTCAAATCCCCTAAGGCTCCTCCCACACCTGGGAAACAGAACGTCTGTGAAGTGAAAACAAAGATCTTTATTTACGTCAGGCATGGGGGGACTTTCCAAAGCTTTTATCTGGGACATTCTGTGACCCTCAGTATTTATCTCCCCCCAAGTCTTTTTTCAAAATGAGGAAATTTTTTTTCTAGATTGAAGTAGCTAAAGTGGTCTTTCAGCTATGTGGACATTTCGACGCCAGCCTTGCATTCTCACACGGCTCATTTAATGGACTGCAGTTTTCGGGATTTGTATCACATAGATGAGGACTACGAGAAAAGCCGAAGGCTAATGAGCCACGCCCAGTGGTGACGTGAGACCACTAACGCAAACTCTTCTACATCTACGAGGGGAGCCTGAAGCCGGCTTCTCTCGCACTGCTCCCGACCCGCACACGCCCACACGCGGGGGACGGCCTGGGCGCCCCTGCGCGAGCTCGCCCGCCTCCTTGCTGCGGGCAAACTGAGTCTCTGTCTTTCCAGAGATGCACACCCTTGGGGGGCACTGGTCAGGATCTTGGTGAACGTCTCTCAATTTGGGTCTAACATTGTCTCGTGATTCCACTGCATTTCTGCTACGCCACAGAGAAGGGATGTGTCCTTCTCATGGGCGGCTGGGATTAATGTCTTATCACTGGTGATGTCACCTTGATTCCTTGCTTCAGGTAGTGCCTGCTTTGTTTTTCCACTGTGAAGTTACTGTTGTTCCCTTTGTGGTTTACAAACATTTGGGGAAGGATACTTGGGGGCCGTATTATTATCACAGACAGGTGGAGACTAAAGGGACGTGGCAGCGAGACGAAGTGCGGGAACCTGGAACAGCAAGAGGACGTTAGTGGAAAAGGGAAGTTCGAGCAAGGTCTGTAATTTAGTTAACGGTGCTGTGCTGATGTTGACTTTCTGGTTTTTACATGGATGTCTGGTTATGTAAGATGTCGGCACTCGGGGAAGAAAGTGAAGAGAACAAGGAAGCTTGCTGAAATATTTTTTACAACTTTTTTTTTAAAGTCCATTAACCTGAAAATTAAAATCTGACCAAGCTGCAGATTCTGATTCCGCAGGGTCTGGGCGGGGCCTGTGCGTCTGCATTTCTCGCAAACTCCCAAGTGATGCTGATGGCGGCTGCTGGCCCCGGACCACTCCGCCAGCCCGGCTCTGCCGGACGGAAACGATTTCACTGAGCACAACTTCCACGTGTGACAATCGGATAACCTGCATCAGATTATGCTCCCCGTGCCGTGCTCGCCGCCTCACTGCGTGGTGAACTGCTACCCTGGCACGCCACCCAGAGAGAAGCCAGCTGAAGAGTCTGAAACCAAGGTCTTTGCCACCACACGTGTCTGGCTGGCCCTGCCCAGCTGAGCCCGGTGTCCCTCCAAGGTCGCAGAGCCAGAACCCCCTGCTGGCACCGCGACTCACAGGCCACCATGGGAACGGTGACTTGGCACCTGTCATCAAGGCCACAAGGAAGTAGGAGAGTGGAGTGCAGGGGAGAACAGGCTCTGGAATTCCCGCTGCAGGTGAGTGACTGGCACACAGGTGACCTCCACTTGCCCCATTAAAATGATTTTTAATAGAGTACAGTAAACGCCCAAGAAAGAGAACAGAGGCAGGTAGGAGACTTCTTCACATGCTTCTGACAGATGGAGAAGATGCGATTGGGGCAACGCGGGGCTACCTGGAGCGCTCGGGAGCCGGCGATACACCGCGGACCGACCTGCAGCAGGGGCCAGGCCTGGGGACTCGGTCCCTGTACATACACAGGAGAGCTGACTCTGCCACAGCCCTACAGAGAGAAAGCGGAGCAGCGCCAGGCAAAGGGGTCTTCCTTAGAGAAGCTCAACAGCCCACAGAAAATCCCTGTGACTTGGCACTGCAGGGCCCACAGCGACAAGCTCCCCATCACCCGAGAGGAGTCTGCACTTTTCAAAACCGTCCCCGCGGACCCAGGGCTGTGCCAGCTTCCGCCCGCCTTAGACAGCAGCCACCATCAATATGCGAGGAGGACGTGCCAGACCAAGAAGCCAACACTGAGCGAGAACAGGGACGCTGGAGGAAACGAATCGGAACAAAAGAGAACTGAAAAGAATCCTTATTAGTTTCCTCACAGTCAGGGAGATAAGACGTTCATCAAACAATAAACTACTATGAATCAGAAACAAGGCAAACATGCTCTTGGAAATCAGAAATTTGACTGCGGAAATAAACAATTTAAAATGGGATCAGAAGGCACACTGAAGCCCTCTCCCAGAAGGGAGATGAAAATGACACAGGAAAGACGATGACGGTGAGACTCCAGGGTCAGTCGGCTGCCCAGCACCAACCAAGGCAACTCCTGGAGGAGGGGGCGGCAAATGCCCGAGTGTGAGAACCCATTGCTTCGGCACACTGTAAAACGTCCTAACACCAAAGAGAAGATCCAAAGAACTTCCAGGGAGGGAAAAGGTTACCCAAAAGGAGTAAGAATCCTTGGCAGGGGTTCTCATTTAAATGAAGAAAGGCACGTTTAAAACGTGGGATCCTCAACGCCCCCCGGTGTGTGATAAAGGAAGCTGCCAGGACACCTGTGCAGGCTACGGAGGAACCCACCCACCCAGCGCAGGGAAAGGAAAGAGGTGGGGGGGTGGGGGGGTAGGCTGGAGGGATTTGCCAATTTGCCACTATCCCTGAGAATTTAAAACGATGTTCGGAGTCAAGGGTAGCAGAAAATGCAAAGAAAGGGTCAACAAGCTGCACGGGAAGGGCAAGGTGCCACCAGGCTGTGCAAGGAACATTTGCACAGTCCGGACATAAACAACCTGAGTGACTGAACACAGTGGGCACAGAGAAGAGGTGGGATACGCTAGCAGAGACAGAGCCGAGAGTGTGTACAAGGACAAAACGCCTGCTTACTTGGAGCGATCGAAAACTACCTGAAGGAACCACCAGAGAGGTAAGTCTTTCAGAGGAGCGGACGGAGGCGGGGCAGGGGGACTGTTGCTTTCCATTGTAAGTCTTTCACTGACATTTCTGTCATGTTGATTAAAAATACGTATTTTTTTTTTTTAAGAGCAGACTTCAGACGGACTGAATTCAAACCCTGGCTGTGTCCTGGGAAAGTCACTTAGTCTGTGGGCCTCAGTGGCTTCTCTATCAAGTGCGGACAGGCCCTGCCTCCCTGGGTCACTGTGACGGGGAACCCTGGAGTCCAGCACGGACCTGCTCTGCAGATGTGAGCTGACTTCTAAAAATTAAAGCCAATGATGACAGAATCCAACATCACAAGAATATATTCTTATTTCAATTGCAAGACAAGGATGGAACTAACTATATAGAATTTTACCGGCAGTTGGGATGTTTTTCCTCACTGGGTATCTGTACGAGGGCTGTCCCGAAAGCTGGAAGTTAAGTGATCAGATTACCTATTTCTGATTTACTGTTTCTGGAGCTTACTCAGACTACTCGACTATAACTTCCAGTTACAATTCTTCCCTAAGAAGACGGCCTCTGCTCAACTACTGATCGTAGTGCTAGCAGCACCAACGCCATCAGGCCTCAGGTGCATTCCAGGGCGGGACAGGGAACTGCAGGTAGGAGAGGAATTACCTGTTCCACCTCAACACGCCGTACCCCGGGCCCTCCCTGGTCAGGGTGCAGCAGGCTCGCTATCCTGGAAAGCCCGCACCTGCTCCACCCGTGCACAGTTCTTCAGCGAATTCTGACTTCTCCAGTGCCAAGACAGCCCTCCCACCTCACTGAAAAGAAACTCAGTCTTCTATTAAGGCAACGTCTGCCGTCCGCGCCCGCCGTTGGGATGGAAATCATCTACTTCCTGCGTCCCAGGGATAAACAACGGCCACGGTGCTAAGGACTAAATCACACAACAGCAAAAACGTTCTGGGGTGTGGGGCTGAAGGGCTCGTACTCGAGGCCCCCCGGGGACCCGCTCAGCCGAGCGCCGCCAGCAGCAATCGCGGGGCCGGCGCCGAGCTCCGGGCCACCGGGCCGCGGCCCACGCCGGTGACTCGGGCGGCACAGAACGATGCCCGTCGAGGCGGAGTCCGCCTCGCAGGTGCAAGCCCCGGAGTCAGCCCGCCGCACGAACGGGGGTCCTCGGCGTCCCCGGCGGCAGCGCGGCCCGACAGCCCGGCGAGCGCACGCGGCCCAGCCCCCCGCAGCCCCAGCCCGGACGGAGCGGCCGGGCCAACGGACGCCGCGCAGGACGCCCGGGGCGAAGGCCCTGCGGAGCGGCCCGCGCGCGGCCCCCCGGGGCCTGGGCCCGAGCCTGGTGGCGGGGCGCGGCGGGCGGGAGCCGGGGCCGCTGAGGGGGCCGCGGCCGGGCGGGCGGAGGCAGCAGGGAGGAGGCAGATCTCGCTCTCGCTCTCGCTCTCGCCCCGCGGGAAGGGGGAGGTGGAGACGCGACCGGCTGCGGGAGCTGCAATTACCGTGTGGGCTGCGGAATTCTCGTGGTGTTTGTCGGGGAGATGCGATAATGGCGTCCGTCCTCGCGAGAGAAGCCGCCGATCTGCGCAGGCGCCGCGGGCCCCTCCCCTCGGGGCGCTGCCCCCACCCTCCGCGCAGGCCCACTGGGCGGGGAGTGAAGGACGCGGGGGCGGGGCCTGAGGGCGCCAAGGCCTGCTGCGCGCGCTTCCGCCCGCTCTGACTCCCGGCGAGCATGCGCAGGGGGCCTGCTCCCGCGCCGGGGCTCTTACTCCCCGAGGCTCTTACTTCCCCACTGTACGCCTGGGCTCCTCGCTGGCCCGGGAGCAATCGCTCCGGTGGGCCGTTTGAGGAATTCGCACCGTCTTTGAGACGGAATGACTAGGAAATATCTCCCTTCACGACTACACGTCCCAGGGTGCCCTGCGCAGGGGGCGCGCGGTGCACTCTGGGACCCGTAGTCCCCTCGTGCGGGCCGTGCCTGCCGGGACTTGTAGTCTCTCCGGACTCGGGCCGCCGGTGTCGTCCCCGCGCCGCGGGCTGCTGGGACTTGTAGTCAGGATGGGCCAGGTGAGCTGTGCGCGCGCCGCGGGCCGTACCTGCTGCCGCTGCGGCGCCGGCTCCGAGGTTCCGGAACCTGGGAGGGCTTCCGGAAAGAGAGCGACGGTGCTGTGGGGCCCGTGCGGGACGCCGAGTGTGCCCGCGCGCCGCGCCGTGTGTGCCTAGAACTGTGGGTGGGCGACAGGTGTGTCTCGGTGGGGCACGCGGGGCACTGTGTGTGGCGTGGACGGCCGATAACGCGAGTTAACTCGTGATAACGCGAGTGCGCGCTGGGTCGTGCGGGCGCTGCGGGCGGAGGGCCGGGTGCGGGAACGGCCCCGGTGGGAAGTCGCGGCGGTGCCGGAGTGACTGGGGTTCGGGCCCGGCGAGGCCACCGGCTGGGACGAGGCGCCGCGGCCGGGCCAGAGCGTCGTCCTGTCCGCTCCCGCTGGGGAAGGGCCCGGACTCAACCGCTGAGCCCCCGAGAGCCGCGCGACGGGGACAGCTCCGGGGCGACGCCTGCTGCCCCCACCTCAGGAAGCGGGTGTGAGTGCCGCCCTGGCCAAGAACTCTCCACGCGGGGCCTGGGTATCCGCCCGGCGAAGGGAGAAATTGAGGACGGTGTTTTTCACGTTGTTTCAAGACCCCCAAGTGCGGGTGCCTCGGTTCCCGGTCGCAGCAGGCGTGAACGAATGAATGAGTGAAGCAGCGAGCAAAGGTGAATACGTAGAAAACAACACCTTCCTGCAGACTACGGTGAGGGCTTATCCAAGGTCCCCACCACTTCGGATTAAGTCAAAAATCAGAACTTAAACCCATCAAAATTATAATTGGGACTGTGCTGGAATTGATGACTTTTTTGTTTTCAATGTTTTAGATTTTTTTTTATTTTGGAGCTCAGGAAGCTAAAATAGAGGAAGGTGTTCAGTAGTGCCATCTGCTAATTCACCATGGTTTAAAAACATGAAATAGGCATCAGCAAAGATGGATATCCACTAAGGGGGTTCACTCGCTTACCATATAAGGACCCTTCCCTTCACCGGTCAATTAACGCAAGAATCCAGTCCAACCTTCTGGAGTTGATGAGGGAAAGTCACGTTCGCCGGGCACTGGAAGAGGAGAGGGAGGCGCACGCTGGCCCTCGTGGCACCAGAAATAGGGGAACCACCTCAGTGTGTGCACGGGCCGCTCGTAAAGACCACGAAGACCCTTCTGCCAGCCCTTGCTGTGCCCACTGCAGGAAGACCCTTCAGAAGCTTCCTCTTTCTGAAGATGTCACTAGGATGGAGAAATGGATTGTTCACGATGCTCCCAGTTGCCCGGGAAAAGCCTAGGAGACTGAGGGGAAGGCTAGAACATGGAGCCAGCCTGTCGCCCAGCCCCGGCTTGGAAGCCAAGCCTCCCTTTGGCGAGTCGCCGCCTCCTCTGGAGCTGGCATTGAGAGCTCACGGGGCTCTTGGGAGGCGTCAGCGAAGGAAACTTTGTTCAGGGTTTAGCAGAGGGTCCGGCTCAGAACATGATCATGTTACCATTTCACTCACTCAGGAACATGTTGGACTTCTTAAATGACACTCCATTGTTTTGGGAAAGCAAATGCTGACTTCCTGATTCATTTGTGGTCTCTGTGTCTGGAACTTACCATCACGGTCGCTCTGCACCACCCCGGACAGTGGCTCTCGGCTGTGGCTGTGAGCAGGACGCCTGGGAGAGTTTCTCAGTGACCAGCGCCTGGCTCTACCCCTGGAAGTGCTGGCCTTGGTGTCCTCAGAGCATTCTTACCGTCAGCCCGGATGGAGAGCCGACCAAGGATGGTTGGCCATCTACGTTCATCTTAATTTTCTGTTCAATTTTAAGTGCGATTCCTTGAAGCAGTTGGTCATTTAAGAGGACAGAGAGCACAGTTATCCACATAACGTGGATTTTCTAACTAAAGCAGAGCCCTGCCACAGGGACCCCAGACCCACAGCCACTGCATCCGTGTGGTCTGCCTGAAAGGGGCAGGCTGAAGAGGGCAGGATGGCCAAGGACAGCCAAGGACATGCCCCCAGAGCCTGTGGAGTGTCAGCTGACCGGGCGGTGGGGGATCGTCAGGACTCAGCGGTGCCTGGGACGTGGGGCGTGGTGTACAGTCACAGGAGTGCTGTTCTCAGGCCTTGTATCAACTCACTAAACCTTCACAACAGCTCTGCCAAGTGTCACTGACCCCACTTTACAGATGAGGAAACTGAGGCAAAAGTCAATGAGTGAATGAATGAATGAATCAGGCTACCCAGGGTGGGTATGTTTCCAAAGTGACTCTGTGGGAAGAAAAGCACATAATCCAGACTTGGTTTTTGTTGCTGGAAACCAAGGCGCCCAAACGTACGGGCCCATCAGAGCAAGGACAGAAGCTGCCGATCACCCGTGCGTGGGACTTCAGGCGGTTCTTGGGTGGATTCGAGCTTCAGAACCCGCGTTCTGTAGGGTTTTCCACACCTGGGATTCTAGGATTCTATGATCAGGTACGATATCCCTGTCCTCTAAAAGATTGTAAGTTTAAGCCAAAAAAAATTTACAAACTTGTCCATCCCAACCCGGAGGGTCCGTTTCAGGGTAAAAGGTGTCTGGGAACAAACTGCTGTCCGGTCCAAAGCAGGTTTCTTCGTGGGCTGGCATCCGCAGGTATCACAGGTTGTCTGGCTGGGGCGACCATCTTACTGTCCAGACGTGGGCACTCTTGTGGGTGAAAGGGCATTATTCATATTTGTGCCAAGACAACAGCTGTAAGCTGGGAGTGCCCCAGGCCAGGGGGCTTCTGGCTTCAGGGAGCATGAATTCCGATCAAATCTCGCCTCTTCGTAGAGAGTAAGGACCCGCTGCTTCGCCGGGAGCCCTGGGCACACGATCATCTGCTGCCACGCCCACCCACCCCCCAGCACTTTGGCAGCTCCCCACTCTGCGCCTTTGAGCCTGCCGTTCCCTTCTCGTACGCACAACAGGGCTCTGTGCCTGGTCGCGGGCGTCCCACAGCCCCAAGCCACAGCGTCCACACCACGAGAACGGGACTTTGCTCTCGCCCGCTTGCCTCCCTCGTTCTCCCCCGTGTCCCCAGCAGGCTCTCCGTAAAGTTTTCCTAACCCCAGGCAGATTCACCCCACTATTTACCAGATCGAAGCACAGTGACCTAAGTGGCCTGTCCCCAGTGAAGGCCACTTGTCCTCACGAACCCACCTGACGCCCAAACCAAACATCAACCAACAAGCTGGGACAGGCATGGGTTGAACTTTAACCATGAGGCTCGAGGGTTTGGGTGAGTTTCCTCAAGAGGTGGGTCCACTCCACAGTCTTCTGGATCAAAGTGAGGACAGAGTAGGAACAGCCACCTCCTTTTGACCGGGGCCCCCAGAGCAGACCCGAGATGTTGGGGAGGAGCCATCGGAAAGCCTCGGGTTTCTCCTTGCTGGCAAAGCAGATGTGGGGGCCTCCGCGACATCGCCCGACGAGGCCAGAGCGACAGTGTTCTCAGCGTCCCTGCGCACAGAGAAGCAGGAATTGCGCTTGTAAGTAGATCTCGGGTCTCCCCAGGTGTGATCTGACATGTGTCTAACTGACTGTGTAGTGTCTGATGAGAGACAGTTGCCAGCCAGGGAGCTTGGGTTCAAATTTCCACTCTCTCTTTTGCATTTGGGGACCTTGGGTGTCCTTGGGCGAATCATGTAACCTCAGCTTCACAGGTTCGTCAGGAGGGTGAGATGCTCAGGACAGCGGGGTGGTAGCCTCGTCGCTCCTGGCCTTGGGCTGGGCCGTTGCTCTTTCTGGGCCTCAGACTCCTCTGTAAGATAAGGCCCTGCGGTGACGGCTGCTGCATCCTCCCCTAACGCAGTCGTTCCCACTGTCCCTGTCCTACAGCTCAGGGAGCAGGGCTGCAAATCAGACCCCGGATGTGGGTCCCGGTGCCGCCCTCAGAGGTGCAGCTTGGGCAGGTGGCCTCCCCTCCCTGAGCCTCCGTTTCCTCATCCGTACCTGGGGGTGACACCGTCTCCAGGGCCGCGCAGGGATGGCGTGATGTGTGCAGCAAGCTGGCACACGCCAGTTCTCCCCACTAACCCGCTGGTCCGCACCAGCCTGTGCCTCGAGCCCGCACGGCCATCTGCGGCGCACTCTGGGCTCTGCCCAGGTCGCTGCCCCGTGGAGGGGGCCTGTGGAGTGAGGGCAGAGCGAGGGGCGTGCTGGAGCCCTGGGCGGAGCTGCCTGAGGCTCGGGGTGTCTTAGGAATTAGCAGGGACGTGGAAAACCAAAGTGGCTGGGGACCCACGTTTTAAACCCCCTACCCAGAGGGGTCTGGGGCAGAAACCTTGTCACCTCTCCACGCTATCCTGTCCCTAACCCGTCATTCCAGTGACCCTGTGCTGCAAGTGGAGTCCTGGACCAGCAGCACAGGGCTCCTGCCAGGAAAGCAGCCCCTTGGGCCCCACCCCAGACCTGCCTGCAGGTCCGGAGCAGTGCCGGGCACACTGAGGCAGGGAATCCACCCCCCGCCCCAACCCTCACACCCAGAGGTGACTGCGGGGATAGTTCGGGGCACAGCCTTCTGACACCTCCCTCCATGCACACGGAACACGCGTCCACACACACACGAGACTTTCCAACATACGAGAAGAATTGTGCTGTATGCGCAGATCTGTGTGTTGGTTTCCTGCCTGCAGACATCTTCACGACTGTCTCTCAGCCGCTGTCCCCTTTTTTATTCTTAATACGGCCACTGAGAGCACCGGCCACCTAGACTGGGGTCCCCACCCCACCACCCTGTAGCTGTGTGCCCCTTGGCAAGTTTCCTAACCTCTCTGAGCCTCAATTTCGTCCTCTGTGAAAGGTGGTTAATGCACTGCTACTTATGGCACAACGCGGTCGGGAGGACGAAACGAGGAGACACGTGGAAGGCCTAGCGCAGCCCTCTCCAGGTGTCAGCTGCGGCTCTTCTTCCGGAGGCCGCCGTGTGGATATCCTGTATTTATTTAAGCATTACCCTGTCGGTGGGCATTAGGCGATATACAATTTTTTTTTTTAAAGAAAGTGATATTTATTCAGGAATGGGCATTGCAACAGGAGTACGCATGCCAAGCAAACCGTGTGTGTGTTCAGGGAGGTAAAGGAAGACAAAGATTTTTAAAGGAAAAAGGATTAAATAATCGGGGGTCTTTTTATTTCAGAATATTATGGGCGTGCAAACACTTTGGTTACATATATTGCCTTTGCACCGCCCAAGTCAGAGCTACAAGCGTGCCCATCCCCCAGAAAGTGCACCCTGTACCCATTAGGTGTGGATTTACTCATCCCCTCCTCCCTCTCCCACAATTTTTTACTATTGCAAAATGCATTCTCACACTGTGCGCGCAACTTTGCATGCTTGCGTCAGAACGAGTACGTTCTGTATCAGGGGCCGGAATCAGTTTATACTGTGGTCCTCAAACTGCTCCCGGCAGAACCCCGGAGCTCTGTTGAGTCATTTCAGAGTTCCATGATGAACAGAAAATATTCTGCCAAACGGAGAAGATTTGAACTTCCTAAGTTCGCTCCTTTGTTTTGGTGTTTTGCGTACTGGTATCCTGCAAAATATTTCATTTGGGAAAAAAATTTGGTACAAAAAGTGATTGAAAATCACTGGTAGTTTGGCCTTGAGAGAAAAGTCAGTTACAAAATGTTTGGAATAATTTTAGGGATCATTTTAATTACACATTCTCTCATGTTTCAGTGGGTGCCAGGGTCGCCTGTCACTGATGTGCACGTTTGTCCCCAAGTCTGTGACCCGATATCACGCTGGTAACCCGAAATCGGCCATGGTGGGGTATTTACACCATGGTAATTAGCAAGCACTGGAATCAAAGGTGTCTATTCCCTGGGAGAGCCGCTAATTAGACATTTACCGGCACAGTCTGGAGCATTTCAATAGGTATTTCTTGCTCCCGTGTATGGGGGCTTCCTGCGTTTGGCTCGGCCAGGCTGAGCTCGGCTAGCTGGGCTCCCAGCTGCGGGGCGGGTCCAGGTCCCCTCAGCGTGTCTCCTGCCTCCCTGGACCGGCAGCTGCTGGGCATGTCCTTCTCCTGACGAAGGGCAGGCACTCAGAGCGCGAGTCCAACCCTGCAAACCACACGAAGCGGCTGCTCACTCACATCTGCTGTTCGTCACAGCAGTCACCGTGGCCAAGCCCAGGGGCCTCCCAGAGAGGTTGAAGGGAAAGGGGTGAAGTTGCTGAGCAGTGGTCCAGCCTGGGGGGTGAAGAATGAGAGTGTGTCGAGGGAAGGGGGTCTCCTTCCAGATCCTGCCCCTGCGAACCAGAAGCACACGGCTCGTGGCTCCAGGCCGTGTCCACTGCAGCCAGGGCTCCATCCGCAGGAGGAGCTCTGTAAATATTTGCTGAATGATTGAGGAGGAGGATAGTATTTTACTTCCGTTACTTCCCGTCAGAGACCGACCTTAATTGGCACACGACTGCCCTTGCTGTGCCGGCATCGCAAGGAGCCACATCCACTCGTGATGGCAGACGCCGTGTTCCACGCAGATGTGTCATTGTGGTGGCCCCACCTGTGCAGCTCAGCAAATGGGACCTGAAACATCCCCTCTCCCCACACCTGTGTCCTCGTGGGTCAGGGAGGTCTGAGTCTCCTGGCCTCTGCGGCCCTCGCTGCTCCCGTCCTGTCTAAATCCAGGTCTGTGCAGCGCGGCAAATGCCGTGGCCAGGGAGGGAGGGTGGGATGCCACAGAGTTTGCGAGGGCTCCCAGCGTGCCGAGTGTCGCTTCCTGGTGGATGATGCACTTGAGGTTCGTGCGGGCTCAGAGGGGCTCTTTAGAGAAAATAGGCAGTGGAGGCCCAGGGCTGCTGGTGTAATTATGAATTAAAGCGAAAGCTGGACCAAGGACACACGAGCAGAGGGCCTGTTGTGACCGCAGGTGTTCCGGGCCAGTTACGCCAGCTCCCAAGTCCGTCGTCACCCACCCAGAGGAGGGGACGCCCAGGCTGGACGCAGGCCGTATCTGCAGAATGCTTCGGGGCCAGCCATCCCCCCGAGCAAGTTTAGTCATTGTTTTGGGCACTTCCTGAGTTCTGTGTGGACGGGAGCGTCCTGGCCAGGCTGTGAGGCGGGGCTGCGAAGGTGTGTCGTGCCTCCTGTGCACGGGAAAGTATTCCAGGTGCTTCTCAGGTGCGAACCTGCTGTCATCACACACGCCATTCTGCTTCCTACAGACGAAGAGACGGGCCGGGGGAGGGTGGTGAATAAGCGCCCGATACCTCAGACAGTGAGTGGGCAGAGCCTGTTCCCCGGCCCGCAAACATGTCTTTCCCTCTGCGCTCTCAATGTTTAAAACCTAAACCAAAAAAGTTACCTGGCCACACTTAAATATTGGGAGACTTCTACAAAATTCTGTATTTTAACTTCTCTTAAAAAATCTAAAGATCGGGCAGCAGAGGGTTCCCTCTCCCGTCCCGCTGGGCAACAGCAGCCGCGGTAAGTGCCCTGAGCTCCCCAAGTTGCCACAGTCCCCGCCGCTCCCGCTGCCTCCCAGCCCGAGGTGGAGGGTCAGTGGCCCACAGCAGCCAGCTCCTTTGCATGGCCCGCCTTGGCCCATGTCACTCGAGTAGGGGAGCCAGACTGGTCCAATGATGAGATTTCTGGCCTCCGGATCCCACTGGGGAAGGGTGTAGGGGTGTCCTCCTCCCTGCTCTACAAAGAACAGAGAAAACCTGTCGAGACCTAGGCGACAGCCCAGAGCTGCGGGAAGCTGTAGTTGGAGACTCTGGGAGACAGGATCTTAGTTCAGACTCTGCAGGTGACGTGCTACAGATCTTTGGAAAATGACTCAGCTGTTTTCTCGTCTATAAGGTTGTTAACCCACACCAGGGATTATTCGTTCAACAGACATCCGTTGCGTCAGACACCGTTTAAGCACGGGGACACACAGGTGAGCGGAACGGCCGAGCCCCCTCTTCCTTTCTGCTGCAGGGAGACAGCCAGCCAAACACCGGCAGGTGCGGTCACCACGCACGTCAACGGGGCTGAAAAAAACCGAAGATAGAAAATTAAAACAAACAGCCAGCTGTCTACCATCACCGTTATTTCCTGTAAGAAAGGACTTTGTAACACTGAAAAGCAGAGAAGTTGTAATCTTAGAATACACATTCTGCCATCTTTTCATTTCAATTTTAAAATGTTTTCTACATTCTACTGACCTCTGATGGTTTCCTTATTAAATAACATCTCCTAAAAAAAATTACCAAGTTCGTTAGAGAACAGAACAACGATGTGTAAGCCACTAGCCTCTCAGGTGGGAGAAAAACTTCCAGCAGGGCTACAAATCTTTCTCCTCATTTTCCAGAATTCTGCTGGGCACGCCCTTTGACCCGGCAAGTGTGTGGTTGATTCGTAAGGAAGAATAATCCAGGCAAGAATACGGAGAAGTAATAGGAACTTCATCACAGCTTTGTTTAAAATTGGAACAAGTCGGGAATCATCTAAACATCACCACTAATGAATTGATTTTAACAATTGTGGCGTAACTGTGCGAGGGAAACGCAGCATTAAAAAGAAGTGTATTTTTTTTTCATTTACAGAATGAGCTCACGATGTTAAATGACAAAGGCAGCTTGCAAGAGTAGGATCCTTGTTCATTAAAAAATCCCAGATCTCTCCTGGCACGAGGGTGTTTGCACAGAGAGCTGCCTGGGCACACACCCCAGGGTGCTTCGGGCCAGCTGCTGCTGCTCCTGCAAACTTCTCTGCACTTTCTGAAATGTTTTAGATGAATGTATCTTACTTTAAAAATCACTCTCGGGCCGGGCACTCTGGGAGGCCAAGGCAGGAGGATCACTTGAGCTCAGGAGTTCAAGACCAGCCTGAGCAAGAGCAAGACCCCGTCTCTACTAAAAAGAGAAAAATTAGCCGAGCATGGTGGCTCCAGCCTGTAGTCCCAGCTACTCGGGAGGCTGAGGCAGGAGGACACTTGAGCCCAGGGATTTGAGGCTGCAGTGAGCTATGAGGACGCCACGGCACTTTAGCCTGGGCAACAGAGTGAGACTCTGACTCAAAAAAAAAAAAAAATGCACACTCAAAACATTTCAAAATGAACTTCAGGAAAGGGGGAAGAGGGCCTCCTCTACTTACTTCTCTTGCTGGTGGGGTTTTACTTCCTCCATGCAGGCGGCACGGCGGGTCAGACTTCCCAGTAGTATCCGCGGCATCACTCAGGATTCATGCGACTGTGAAGGGAAGTTCCAAACCCGCCCGTCAGCCGACCTCCTGCCCTCCCCGGGCCTCGGCTGGGCTTCCCGTGGCCACGCTCTGTGACGATGACCACACAGAAGTCAAAAGCCCGTCAGCAGGCCAAGGGGGTTACTGTTCCAGGTGGGAGGGGACATCTGTGTCTCAGTGGGTCCAGAGAGGCAGGGAACAGCGCACGCAGGGTGCAGGTTCAGCGGCTGAGAGGCTGGTGGCCCTCGCACCACATACCTGGGTCCCGTGGGGCCTCACGTGGCCGTGTTTCTGCCACATCCGTCTGTGTGTTACACGGATGGAGCCGAGGCCTCAGCCAGGGTCTCCCTCTCTCTGCCCACAGTGCACCCCCTCTGGACGGGCCCGGTCCCCATTCCCAGGGGCACCCAGCAGTCCCCCATCAACATCCGGGCCGGGGACAGCGTCTATGATCCCCGGCTGAAGCCGCTCCAGGTTGCCTACGACGCGGCGTCCTGCACGTATGTCTGGAACACCGGCTACCTCTTCCAGGTGGAATTTGACTCTGCCACTAAGGGGTCAGGTGAGCTCGTGGGGTCGAGGCCTTCCTGTTCTCCTGTCGCCCTGGAGAGAGGTCAGGGCAGGGCAGGCTGCTTTCCTTATGCTGTTTGGGTGCAGGGGACAGTGACTTGCTCCCGGGAGACCAGGAGTATGGCACAAAGGTTCAAAGGGGGACAGGAGAGTGGCGCTCACTGCAGGGATGAATGGCCTCACCTGCACCACACAGGTCTGTGGAGCAGAGGAGGCCCCTTCCCTCGCGGGCTTGCGTTCCAGGCGGTGGGAACGTGAAGCAGAGGGTGGTAGAGGACGGGACGGGGTGGCGGCTGCGACCCCCACGCTGGCCTTGCCTGGAAGGAGGCTGGGCCCATAGCCGGGCGGGGCGTCAGGAGCCTGGTTCTTATTGGGGCGAGGTGAGGCCACTGCAGGTTTGAGCAGGACAGACAACGGCGGGAGGGGAGCAGGGACTGGAGAGGAGGCTGTCCGGGGGTGCAGGCAGGAGGCGGTGCTGGGAGGATGGGGGTGCAGGAGGCGCTGAGACAGGTCCCGGGGGCCACGAGCCTGTACTGGGTCCCCGCGCTGCGTCAAGGGATCGTCTCACCAAATCCTCGCCAGTGACACTCAGGCATCTCAGGTGGCTGCTCTGTCAGGTTCGGGACAGTCCTTTCTGTTCCTACTTTATCCGCAGTTTTATCCCTGTCTGCGGCCAGGTCAGGAACTGTTGATACTGTTGTGAGCCTTGTGTGCAGAACCCCTGCTCTCCTGCTGGGCGTCTGGGATTGGGGCGCGTACTAGACACAAGGCGCCTACGTGACACAAGGCCCACACCCGTTCACGGTGGATCTTGGTCGGGCTTCACGGTGAAGCTCAGGGACGCTTCTCACGTCAGCCTCACTGAATGCCAGTGACAGGAACCCCCAGCCTGGCCAACGTGAGCGAAATGGAACTTCGTGGAAGGACAAAACCAGCTCAGAGTAGGGAAAGTTGGACGACCACACCTTGGGCAGCACAGGGACCGGGCCAGCCTCAGGGCCGGGGAGCAGGCATCTGTGCATTTATTTAGTCGCCAAATTTTTTCTTGCCCTTGTTGATCTAAGTCCAAATCCCCAAGAAACAAGTTTAATGTGGTTATACTATTTCAAAAATTTTTATGCAGCAACTTTAAAAGATTAACTAAAGAATAATAGAATAATAGTTCCTGAACACTTAATTGTTTGGGGTAACAGTTGTGTGAGTATATTAATAATTTGAGAAAAACATATCATGGATGTAGATGCATTACTATAGAATTCATACTCCTGTATAATTTTTATATGTAGTTTTGGGTCTTACTGATATCACTGTAACAGATTTGTTTTCCTTTAAGGCATAAGGTATGAAAAACTTTGAAGGTTATTTTGGCCTTTTGCACGTTTATGGTTAAGATACATTTTACAAAATAACTCAGATTCCCAAGGCGAAGTTCTGTTGGCTGATGCTGGGCCCGGTGGAGCATGGGCACCCGGGCTGGTCTCCGCGCCAGGACCGCAAGCCCTGGGAAGGGGTGGGACGGGGGAATCCACATACTGTTCCAGAAGGAGGAAGCTGTGCCCGACGACCATGCAATGGCAGCAGCGTGGCGCAGCACAGGACCCGCTGCAGAAAGTGTCGGCATCCTGGTCTGATGGGAGGAGAAATGGGGACTAGCAGGCGGGAAGACCCACTCAGGGCTGTGCAAACGCAGGAGGCAGAGTCAGCCTCCGTCCCAACTCCTGGCGACTGTGATGCCTGCTCACCCAGCCCTTTCTCCTTGCCAAGGCTCCGCTTGCACACGTGACACAGATTATTCCCATTATACAGATGAGAAAAATGAGGCCCCCAGAGCTTCTTGGCCTGAGCCCACAGTCCTCCCCACAGGAGCCTCTGCTCTCTAAGGAAGGGAGTTTGGGGAGTGTGTGTCCTCTATAGAGAGCATCTATACCCAGCATCCACAGGGCGTCAGGCACGAGGCCACGGGAGCTGAGCTGGTTCGCGGGCACGGTGCCTGCTGAAGGGGTGCTGAGCCGGCAACACGGCAGATGCCCCCTAAGCGATGGGAGCCCCTATGAGCAGGATCCTCTGCCCCGCCTGGCACCTGCAGAGTCAGACCTTCCCGGGAGTGCGGGGTCCTTGTCCCACGGCCACCAGGGGGCCCAGTGCAGCCAGAGCCTGCCCCTCATTAGGGTTAATGTGTTAACTGGTGGGCGCTGGGAAGGGGCAGTCCCAACAGGACTGGTGGCAGTGATTGGTCCAGGACTGGGCACGTGATTCGAGCCTGGCCAATGAGAGCCAGAGCGTTATTTCCAGGAACTCTATAAAAGCAACTTTTTGTGCCCTAGGGTCTCTCTGAGCCAGGTGGGAACCCGCTTTGAGAGAAGCACCCAGCAGGGGAGCCAAGCCAGGGGTGGGGAGAGAGCCCGGGCCAGGCAATGTTGGAGCCCCTGCACGCTGCCTGCCCAAAGCCAGCCAACCCCTGGACTAACAAACCTCTTTTTTTCTTTGCGGTAAATTAATTTGATTTAAGTTACTCTCACTTGCTTCCAAGAGTCCTAAGTACAAGCAGACAAGTAAAAAGTGACGAAGGTGAGAGGAGAAACGGAGGGAAGGCACCGGAGGGTCACCAGTATTCGTCCTTCCACTCTTCCCTCCCTCAAATGCAATTCTGCTGAGGCCGGGTGCAGCCTGGGGACGTGGAAAGTTGGCCGTGGTCTGTTTAACGTCGCCCTGCAGATTGTCGGTGCTTCATGACTCAGACTTGTCCTCAGGGCCTGGTTGAAATTCCAAAAGGGGCCCCAGGGAGGACGAGCCCTTCCAAGTCTGCACAGTGGAGCGCTGGTGAGGGTTAGCAGCTGGCTTTCTGGGCTTGGGTGCAGGAACCAGAGCCATGATCAGTGGTGTTTGCCACTTTCCATGGTGTAAACACTCCCACGTGGCCAAGTTTAAGCTTCCAAGGTGAAGTCACTGGTGGGGAAGCTGGAGAGAGATTTGCACAGAGGTTCCTGGAGCCAGTACGAGCCAGCTCCCACGCCTGGGTCCCTGCCCTCCTCTCTCTGGTCCCTGCAGCCTCTGATCTCATTTTGCTCTCCAAGCGAGGAATCCACTGTATTCGTTAAGGCTCCTTTTTGGTTGCACGTGGCGGAATCCCAAGTCAAATCAGCCTGAGCAAAGAGGAGGGAGATATGTTGGCTCAGATCTTAAAACGTCCAGGGTGTGGCTGGGCCCAGCGGAGGAGAACCACACTGCTGGGAATTCAAATGCTCCCTCTCAGGGCTCTGCTGCTTCCTGGGATGATTCCCTCTAATTTGGAGGTTCCCAAATGGTGGAAAGAGGACGGCCAGGTCTCTGGCTCAGCCTCCCAGTCCAGCGACACCGAGAGAAAGAGCCTCCTTCCCAGAATCCCAATGGCAGTCCCAGGGCTGACTGTCAGGGGCCAGCTTTGGTCCCTTGTCTGGCCAGCCTGAGGATGACAGTGGAGGAAGGTGACTTTTCAAGGGACACTGGGGGTGGAGGTCGGGGGGCGCTGCTCCCAGAAGCGTGCCCCGTCCTGGGCACACAGCCTTGCTGTTGCCCTGAGCAGACCTTGGCCCATCCCTGACTCAGTCGCTCTAACGTCCAAGCCTCTTGCACCCTGTGTGTAGCCAGGTCTTCAGCATCTGACCTGGCCCTGACCCCTTTTGGCTTCCCCACCTTCCCATCTGGTTCAAAGGGACTCACCCCACCCTGCCACAGACCGAAAGAATTATCTGGGTGTCTCTCTCCAGCCATATAAATTAGTTGGGTAATTCCTCCCGTGGCTCGTGTCCACACAGGCCAATCTGGTTTTACTTTATTTGTCATTTTCCCAAAGACCCAGTTTCCTTTCTCTCTCTCTCTCCTACTCAGCTTCACGGGACCCATCCCACTCCGTTACTACAGCTTTTTCCCAGGTCCCTGTGCCCCTCTTTTCAGATTTTCTGTCCTCTTTGTTCACCTCCACTGAGAGTCGGGAGCAGTTCCGGAAAACACAGGAGAAGGACAGGCAAGGCTGGGGAAAGTTTCCTGCAAGAAAACGGGAATGATGAGTCTCTCCCACAAATTAAAAGAAAAAACCCAAACCCAGCCCCGGCTAGAAGGAAAGGAAATGGCTCCTGAGCAAGGAGTGGGTGAGCGGGGAAGGTGCGTGGTGCAGAAGCCGTTCTGTGTGGACTATGATTGCTGAGGTCTGGGCCCCACCAACCGGCGAGTGCCAGAAATTCAAAGCGAAACAAAAGAGGGAGGCCAAGGAAATTTCCGTCAGCATGGACAGCTGCCCGCGGTTTTTCTAGGAAACAAGGGATGCCAGCACTTGGAGCTGGAGCAGCCAGTGGCAAGGGGCAGCAGAGGCGGGGCAGCGGCTCTTCCCAAATGTTGTGAGGGGCCTGGGGGCCAAGGGAAGAAGGGCCTGAGGGACGGGATTGGGGGGGAATTTCAGCCCATCCACACCAATGGCCACTGTCACATTCCATGTGCAAACCACCTTGCTCTATGAAACCCAGCACGCGCCCAAGTGGCAGCTCATCTGAGTCCTTGTGGGCACCCTAGGGTCCAGCATGGGGTGAGGGCCTCGGCTCTGAGGCCAGAGAGAGCAGGGTGTGAGTCCCAGCAGGATGGCACGAGCAAGTCAGCTAACCTCTCTGACCCTCAGTCTCCTCCTCTGCTTACTGAAGATCTGACACTGGCCCTACAGGGTGGGTGGGAAGAGTAGAATACGGCCCATGTAGAGTGCTTGGCCCTGTGCCGGGAGAGTTAAGCATTTGATATGCGACAGCCTCGCCAACTGTGCTTCCTTCAAAATAAAATAATCGCAGGGAGGCACTGGCTGTGGGCTCTTTGTAATGTTTTCCACCAGGGCAACAAGGAGCAAGCAGAGAACAGCTGCTGGCCAGGCTGCAGTCTGGCTTTCTCTGACCATGGAGGACTCGGTGTGTGTGCATGACCTGGTCAACCAGCCAAGGAAGGAGAAACAGGGCCCCATGTCTGTTGACACTG